GGTATCAAAAGTTCTCTGCAGCTCTGGTTGAATTCCAATTTCGCCAAAGCCATGCTGATCCTGCTCTCTTCATCTACAGCGCAGCTAATTCGTTCGTTGTGGCCCTCATTTATGTCGACGATGTTATTCTCACTGGCAATGATCTGCCTTTTATCCAGAAGGTCAAGGAGTTTCTTCATGCTCGGTTTACTATCAAGGATTTGGGGCCTCTCAAATACTTTCTCGGCATTGAAGTTGCCCGTTCTGCTCAGGGGATTGTTCTCAATCAGCGCAAGTATGTTCTCGACATCTTGGCTGAGACTGGTTATCAGGCTACACGCCCTGCTGATTCTCCGATTGAGCAGAATCACCAGCTTGGTCGTTCACCCTCTCCACCTGCTCCTGATCCTGCTGCTTTTCGTCGCTTGGTTGGCCGCCTTCTCTATCTGACAGTCACTCGTCCCGACATCACTTATGCTGTCAACTTGCTCAGTCAGGCGGTTCATGCTCCTACCCAAGCTCATCTGGATGCCGCCCATCGTATCCTCCGTTACCTGAAGTCTTCTCCTGGGCGTGGGTTGTTGTTTCCTGCTCATGGTTCTCTCACTTTGACTGCTTACTGCGATGCTGATTGGGGTGGCTGCTCTACTACTCGCCGTTCCACGACTGGCTATTTTATTCGCCTTGGTGCTTCTCCTGTTTCCTGGCGTACGAAGAAACAGTCTGTTGTTGCTCGTTCATCTGCCGAGGCTGAGTACCGAGCAATGGCTACCACCGTCAGTGAGGTTCTCTGGCTCCGATGGGTTCTTGAAGAACTTGGTGTTCCGCAGACTCGTCCCACTCCTCTTTACTGTGACAATCAGGCTGCTCTTCATATTGCTGCGAACCCGGTCTTTCATGAACGCACCAAGCACGTGGAGATGGATTGCTACTTCGTCCGGGAACGTGTTCAGTCTCATCACATTGCTCCCCGGAAGATCCCCACTGCCGAACAGCCTGCTGACATTTTCACCAAGGGTGTCGGCATTGATCATTTTCATCACCTTTTGTCCAAGCTTGGCATGTACGATCTCCATGCCTGTGCTTGAGGGGGCGTATTATGTTTTGTTATTATTATTGTTAATTTTGGTCAGCTAATTCCCACGTGACTTGGTGAGGGAATTAGGTTTTAGTTTTCCACAAACTATATAAGGCCAAAGCTAGGGCTCGGCCACTGCAACTTTCTTTCTTCTCTTGTAGATCGACAAAAACATCATAATAAAAACTCAGCCGAGAGCAGCCGCTCTCCGTGGACTAGTCTCACTCATCATCGAGTGGGGAAACCACGTAAATCCTTGCCTTGTCTTTTTCAATTCCGCAACATCGAATTCTTCAAGTTCACTAAATCTCATTCAAGTATTTCTATGGTGTTTGATATTTTGATTTTTCAAATTTCGATTTGAGTTTAATTAGCAATTCAGAAATTTTCTCTAACTTATAAATGGAGGATAATCTTAAAATTACAATGCAAATATCATTGGTTGAATTATTGCATATCGAATTACAGTATTGAATATGCAAGAAAAATGTACAATTCTCAAATTAATATTAATTTTCAGAACTACCATGAAGTAATAATATTTTTGTGCAAACTAAAATTCTATAAATGACTCGTCTCTAAACCTTTTATCCTAGTTAACCGCTAAGGCTTAAATCTCTTGCTAATCTGGCATGATTAGACAAAAAATAATGAGACGAAATCAGGTTTGATGTGTTGTTCGTTTGACCATTTTGGTTGTGTTATATAATGAATTTTTAGGGCAATGACATATAAATCATTGTTTATGAACCTGCTTTTTCATTTTTAATTCTTTATCTAAGTAAAATTGTTTAAGGCTTGAACTACCTTTATATTCACTCGAATGGTTGGATAAATTTTGTTTTGCAGTTTATAATAATTATTTAATTCATAATATTTTGTAATGATTGAAATCTTTTTTATATATGATTTAGAAGTATACTTATTATTTGTGGCATATATAAATGGTAATTAATTCAAATGTAGTATTTCATTCTTAATATTGAAAAAAGATGGCTCATGGCTAGTGGCACGACATAACTGCCTTGGCCTGATCGCCAATTAAGTTGTACATCTTAGCAAGCAAAAAAATATAACAAAATGAAAATCAAGGCCCAACGTTACAATGTGATTTATCGACAGACAACGCTCCATACCTCCATTCAGAAATCAGATGATGTCCTACAGTAAAAACTCCCTTCTCGTTGACAACCCAATGCTCACGTCTATTACGAATTGCCGCGTTATACGCGGTGAAAGAAAGGCGGTTGTCCCGGACTGCGAGGTTGCACCAAAAAACAGTTGTACGAATGAAATTCACCGATTCGAACTCCCAACTGAAAGCAGAGCCCGTGTCGAGCACGTGGGCACGAAGATCGTCGTCTTTGGATGCACAATGCACTATCAGTCTGAGACCGCATAGCTCATTTTTCACATGAAGCTTCGTCACGGCTTGCTGAGTTGAGGGATGTGCCATAACAGCCATTGCTATGGTTGCTAAAACCACCGCGGCTTGCAAATTTCTGACGAACTTCCACATCTCGATGATCTCCCTTTCTCTTTTTGTTAGGATAACAATGTTGTTCAAATTTGTGATGTATTTGTAGTAAGCGGGGCACTGGATGATCAGGTGAAGAGTCCTTTGGATTTTGGAACTCTGGCTCTGTCTCAGCTGCATGTCTCTTGAACACAATAATAAACAAGTATATGAAAATAATTAATTGCTGCATACAAACAGACATAGATTATAATTAATTTATTATAATGTTTGGAGTGGAACAAGACGATTAAATTGTCACAATTGTTTCCTTAACTTTGCATTGAGTGTTTCTTATGTATCGACCGGGAATAAGTGGAGGCCAATCGCAATTGATTGATCGTCAAAACAAAAACATAAGTATTAAGTTGGCAGGAATTGCTTCCAATAACAAGGACCATGGTTTAGACCGGTTCGATAAGCTCATCTTTGCCCATTTAAGATTGGATACGTACGTAGTCTCCGGTTATGAGTAATTTCAGTCGGGTTGCATTACTCAATATCAATTTTGCCTCTTTCAATAATGTCAAATCAACGAAAGCATAATCGAGAGAAGACAAGATTTACGTGGATTTTCAATTGAGTCTACGATAATAGTTGATACTAGTCTATCGACAATAATCAACTCGGAGCCTATGTTATTATTATTGTGTTAATTTGTCGTAAAAAAGTTACAGCCATTAAATAGGAACAAATACATACACCTCCCAACCCTAGTTCGTGGCTGCTCTTGTAATTAACCCCTTTATTACATTTAGGGGTCGTTTGGAGAACAAGATTTGGATCATGGATTTGTTGAATCCATAGATTTAGCAAAATGTTATGTTTTTTTGCTACTTTTTGTATTGTGGATTGTAGGTTCAGAGATTTTAAATCTCTAAAATCTAGAGATATCAAATCTCTCATAATTAGAGAGATTCTACATCTTGATTTTGGAGATTTTCTCCCTCCTACTATATCTCTTCTTTTTTTCAATTTATCCCACTAAATACCCTTATCAATAAATTCTCAATATTTTTCGAGCCAATCTAATTGTTTTGGTTAATGATAAACATGTCATTTAATAAAAAAATAGAATTTCTTTTTTCATTGGATGTTAACAATCGTAGTTACCAAACAATGAACATTTTCAAATCTTTTTTCTACAATCCAACGAGTTAAAATCTTTAGATTGTCTAGAATCTATAGATTTAGACTCCAATTCTCCAAACGAGCCCTTACATACATATACTTCTACCACTGTACCTCAAATTTATAATGACGGTGTTTCTTGGATTGTCAGAGAAAATGAAGTCTTCGTCTGCGTTATACGCGATGAAAGAAAACGCTTATAAATGAAGGATAATCTTAAAATTGCAACGCAAATATCATTGATTTAATTATTGCATATCGAATTGCAATATGTAATATGCAAAAAAAAAAGTACAATTCTCAAATTAATATTAATTTTCTTTTTTTTGGTAGAAAAGCATACGCTAAAGCGTCTTGGAATCATATATTAATGAACCTGGGTATGGAAACACCCATAGTAGCATCATAGTCAAGCTATTTACAAAGCTCATGGCTATCCACATAAACTTGATGTGTTCCAGAAGTAAGATTGTGAATAAAATTAGCTAGAAAATCAGCAGCCTGATTTCCTTCTCTATACACATGAGAAACAGACACAATCCAATCACGATTCAGGAGGTTGCTGATATGCTGAGCCAACAGGCCGTGTCTATGATCATCGTCCGAATGATTTTTCATGATGGTAATAGCAGTAGTCGAGTCCAACTTGAGTTCAACATGGCGGAAACCCTTCTCCCACGCAATCTCAAGCCCAGCAGCTGCTCCTTTGAGTTCTGCTGCAGTGATAGAGCAGTTTCCCAAGTTGCAAGCAAAAGCTGCACAACAACGTCCCAAACTGTCACGAATAAGGCCTCCAGCAGAAGCAAGACTTGAGGGAGAGAGGACAGAGCCATCAGTCTGGACCTGTACCCATCCCTCAGGTGGAGGAATCCATCCAACCTGGACCTCGCTTCTCGTTCTTTGGGGCGTGAAGCTCCTGTCAACGTTTTGCAGGGCCTTCTTGTATATGTTGAACCAAGCCTCAATCCTGCAGATTAGGAATTTCTCAACATACACTTTGCCTTCCATACACTCCTCGTTTCTCTGTTTCCATAGGTGCCATACAATCAGTCCAAATTCAGTGCCTTGGTTAGCATCCTTCAGGTTTCTGGACATCCACTCCTTGAAAGGTAGGTTTCTGTCCTTGCAAGTAACCCGGGTTCTGAATTTTTCCCATAACCCTTCAGTCTTCTTGCAGTGTCTGATGATGTGCTCTGTGGTTTTTTCAGTATCCTTGCAATGGTTACAGTTACCATTCAAAGTGAGCTTCCTTTTCATGCGTTCCTTGTTTGTGAGTAGTCTGTCATGCATCACCAACTAAAGGAAGTGTTTTGTGCGGCTTAGCCCTTTCCATCTCCATAGCTTCTTCCAAAAACCCTCTTCAGTTGTCTCCAGCTGGCCAGCAGCAGGCTTATATGCTGATTTGAGCCTAAACCTCTCATCCCTCTCTAAACCCCAAATGCATTTGTCTTCTCCCAGGTTGCTTTTTGGGGGTTCAATTCCAGCAATAAGGGAGAGGATATTAGGAGGGAGGAGGGTCTGAAGCTTCGGCCAATCCCAGTTTCCATTGTTATCAGTCCAGTCAGCAACTGATGAATCCTCCTGGGGGATGGGACTGTTCTGAGTGATGAAATCCTTGAGGAAGATACCCTGATCCAGCCATGGATGGTGCCAGAAGCTGGTGACTCTTCCATTCCTGATGCTCCAATTCGTGGCACTCTTAATTTTCAGAACTACCATGAAGTAATAATATTTTTGTGCGAACTATAATTCTATAAATGACTGGTCTCTAAATCTTTTATCCTAGTTAACCGCTAAGGCTTAAATCTCTTGCTAATCTGGCGTGATTATACCAAAAATAATGAGACGAAATAAGTTTTGATGTGTTATTCGTTTGACCATTTTGGTTGTGTTATATAATGAATTTTTAGGGCAATGACATATAAATCATTGTTGATGAACCTGCTTTTTTATTTTTAATTCTTTATCTAAGTAAAATTGTTTAAGGCTTGAACTACCTTTATATTCACACGAATGGTTGGATAAATTTTGTTTTCCAGTTTATAATAATTATTTAATTCATAATATTTTGTAATGATTGAAATCTTTTATATATGATTTAGAAGTATACTTATTATTTGTGGCATATATAAATGGTAATTAATTCAAATGTAGTATTTCATTCTTAAGATTGAAAAAAGATGGCTCATGGCTAGTGGCATGACATAACTGCCCTGGCCTGGTCGCCAATTAAGCTGTACATCTTAGCACGCAAGAAAATATAACAAAATGAAAATCAAGGCCCAACGTTACAATGTGATTTATCGACAGACAACGCTCCATACCTCCATTCAGAAATCAGACGATGTCCTTCAGTAAAAACTCCCTTCTCGTTGACAACCCAATGATCATGTCTATTATACTTTGCCGCGTTATACGCGGTGAAAGAAAGGTGGTTGTTCCGGACTGCGAGGTTGCACCAAAAAACAGTTGTACGAATGAAATTCACCGATTCGAACTCCCAACTGAAAGCAGAGCCCGTGTCGAGCACGTGGGCACGAAGATCGTCGTCTTTGGATGCACAATGCACTATCAGTCTGAGACCGCATAGCTCATTTTTCACATGAAGCTTCGTCACGGCTTGCTGAGTTGAGGGATGTGCCATAACAGCCATTGCTATGGTTGCTAAAACCACCGCAGCTTGCAAATTTCTGACGAACTTCCACATCTTGATGATCTCCCTTTCTCTTCTCAATGTCGTTCAAACTTGTGCTGTATTAATAGTAAGCGGGGCACTGGATTATCAGTAGAAGAGTCCTTTGGAACTCTGGCTCTGTCTCAGCTGCATGTCTCTATTAACTGAACACGATAATAAACAAGTATATGAAAATACTTTTGCTGCATACAAACAGACATAGATTATAATTAATTTATAATGTTTGGAGTGGAGCAAGACGATTAAATTGTCACAATTGTTTCCTTAACTTTGCATTGAGTGTTTCTTATGTATCGACCGCGAATAAGTGGAGGCCAATCGCAATTGATTGATCGTCAAAACAAAAGCGTAAGTATTTAGTTGGTAGGCACATGGCAGGAATTAGGCGGGCTATTTGGTCCGGGGCTTGCTATTTGCCGCCAAACAAATTGCTATTTACCGTTAACTAAAAAAAAAAAAAGTATATATGTACATCTTTGGTTAAGAAATTTCACAATCTACAACATATCCAACTTTCAGAAAACGTATTGAATCAGAAAAAATCGACGCTCGCCGGAAAACCATCGGGAAAGCCCATCCTCGACGTAAACTGCGGACACGCATCCATGAATCATCACTAAGCAGGTGCGTCAACCTCCCGTCGTCCTCAATCGTCGGAAAACAAGTAAGTTTACTTTTTCCGGCAAGTTTTTCAATTTTCCGGCAATTTTTCCAGTTTACCGGCGAAAAACACGGTGGGCCGAAAAAAATTTGCGGCCGGTGCGCCGCCGGGCCGAAAAAATCTTGTGGCCGGTGCGCCGCCGGACCGAAACTTTTTTGCGGCCGGCGCGACGCCCGGCCGAAATATTTTTTCGGCCCGTCGTCGCCCCGGCCGAAAAATTCTTTCGGCCCGGCGGCGTTCCGGCCGCAAATTTTTTTCGGCCCACCGTGTTTTTCGCCGGAAAACTGGAAAAATTGCCGGAAAATTGAAAAACTTGCCGGAAAAAGTAAACTTACTTGTTTTCCGACGATTGAGAACGACGGGAGGTTGACGCACCTGCTTAGTGATGATTCATGGATGCGTGTCCGCAGTTTACGTCGAGGATGGGCTTTCCCGATGGTTTTCCGGCGAGCGTCGATTTTTTCTGATTCAATACGTTTTCTGAAAGTTTGATATGTTGTAGATTGTGAAATTTCTTAACCAAAGATGTACATATATACTTTTTTTTTTTTTTTGGTTGGCGGCAAATAGCAATTTGGTTGGTGGCAAATAGCCGTTCACTTTGGTCCGTACTATTTGGTTTTACCCGAAATCAGACCGTATAATTCGGACCGGGATCGGATAATGTTCAATTCAATCTCATATTTGGGTTTAGATTTGAGGTAAAAAATCGTTTGGGACCGGATCGAAAACCGGATAAGAGACCCCAACACCCAAAACTTAACCAACTCCTCACCCTTTGAAGCCTCAGGCCACTCAAATTCCCACAAGCTCAATCTAAAATCAATACCAAATTGGGATCGGACCAGATCAAGACCGGACTGTATCCAATCCAATCTTTGGTCCTTATATTCCCGAAAAGACCGGACCGGCACCGGATCAATTCGGTCCAATTTAACCGGATCGAACCATATAGCCACCCTAGCAGGAATTGCTTCCAATAACAAGGACCATGGTTTAGACCGGTTCGATAAGCTCATCTTTGCCCATTTAAGGTTGGATACGTAGTCTCCGGTTGTGAGTCATTTCTGTCGGGTTGCATTACTCAATATCAATTTTGCCTCTTTCAATAATGTCAAATCAACGAAAGCATAATCGAGAGAAGACAGGATTTACATGGATTTTTCAATTGAGTCTATGATAATATATAGTTGATACTAGTCTATTGACAATAATCCACTCGGAGCCTATGTTATTATTATTGTGTTCATTTGTCGTAAAAAAAGTTACAGCCATTGCATATAGGAACAAATACATACACCTCCCAACCCTAGTTCGTGGCTGCTCTTGTTATTGACCCCTTTATTACATTTACATATACTTCTACCACTGTACCTCAAATTGATGACACTTTGATCAACAACATCAATTTGTGTACTAGGAACCAATGTCAAGCGGATGATATCATCACCTTAGTGAATAGATTTGTAGTTTGATCCCTCACAAGTTATATAGACATGCTTGACAACACCCTCGACAACTAGTTCATGTATATATAGTGAATATGAACTTCTATGTGTTTTGTCTGTTAAAGTAGAAAGTGGACTAGTCGCTATGAGAATTTCACTTGTATTATCAGCATACAACTGAACTTGTAGTCGAAAACCGACATACAGTCCTCGTCGATGGTCGCCCTCATGACTTCGGCATGGCAACCGTGCTAGCTAGTGAGAAGGATATAAAACACACTCGACAACTTGGTGGCGAGACTCTTGGCATGCATCAGACTTCGTGATCACGAGAATGTTCGTTCGGAACGATAACTAGGGAGGTTAGGAAATGGGAGAGGCTGGCGGTGGCGGAGTCGACGGTGGCGCTCGCCGAATTACTGGGTCAGAGAGAAAGTTTGGGGGTGGTGATTTTGGTATTGGTTCATACTTGAAAGTTCATATGGCAATTTGGCTACGGTGTGCCAACACCCAAAAGTGATAGGACATTCTAATACCTTTTTTATTTTATTTACATCAAGTAGACGTTTTTTTTATAGATTCAAAAACATTTTGCTTAAAATATTTATTTCAATTTGACAAGATCAATATCAATATTTTATATACATTATTCGAGATAAATTTGATAATATTTATATAATGTAATTCTAGTATTCACACCACATGCTTTCAAAAATATAATAAAGTGGAAAATCAAGGTTCAAAGTTACAATGCAACGATTCATCAGTCGACAACGCTCCCACTACAAAATACAACACATACAGCAGGGGTTTTATTTACTTTTAGCAACGGAAAAAACCGTCGCTAACTAGCCCGACAGCGGTTTTCGTAACCGCAGCAGAACCGTTGCAAAAACAACTGCCGCAAATGTATACCAGCGGTCTGCGCAACCGCTGGTGAATGTCCTTGCAGCGGTTTAGCAACGGTTTTTATGGTCGCAATAGGTCTTTTTTTGTACGGTGGAATCGGTTCTTTTGCTGCGATTATAAGTACATTAGCGACGGATTTTAACCGCTGCTATTTTGACAAATATTTCGCAGCACTTACAACCCTTTCAGACGTTTTTTAGTGACCATTTTTAGAGACCATTTTTTTGGTGACGAATACCTCTGCATATACAGCTAGGGGTGTGCAAGGGTTCGGTTCGGTCCGGACCGGACCAAACTCATGAGAACCGCGGTCCATTAGTGAAAGACATGTTAGGACCAAGGACCGGACCATTCTTGCATTTGGTGTATTTGGTCCGGTTCGGTCCGGTCCAAATATGAGCTCGGTCCACCATTTCTTCAGTAATTATAAAATTCATTAAGACCAAGGACCGGACCGCATTTTACTCGGTCTGGTCCAGTCCGGTCTTAACAACGGTTTGGTCCGGTATGGTCCGGTACGGACCGGACCATTGCACACCCCTATATACAGCCTGCTAAAGTTTTCAAATTTTCTATATAATTCTAGAACCCCTGCAACCTGCTGCAACATTTCAAATTTTTCATACATATAAAAGTATCTTGACAGTCTATCCATGCCACAAATTTGCAAACTTCCAAAGTACATAATACTTCCAGCTAATATCAAAGAAATGTAACAATAGAAATTCTTATCCTGTATAAACTTGAACAACAGCTAATATCAAAGAAATGCAAACTTGATGACAGAAAATGTTCCAGCCAAATCCATGATATTGAACTCGGCTTTCTTTTGAATCTCCAACATTATTATGCAGTGCACGGTTCTGAAACTCATCTTATCCTGTTAAGAAGCCAACCAAAACAAATAGAAGCCATAAGCAAGTGTGATCAAACAAACAGCCATCATAGGCAAGTGTGATCAAACAAACAGATCAAATAAACAGCCATCATAGGCAAGTGTGATCAAACAAACAACCATCAGAAGTAGTTCTTGAATGAAAAGACCGGGCATCTATCCCAAACGAATTGCTTGGCTTTATGATTCAAAAGAAACCAAAGTAAACTAGGGGCAGACATCATAATCAAGGAAAATGAACTATCCCAAACAGATTGCTTGGCTTTATGATTCGAAAGAAACCAAAGCAAACTAGGGGCAGACATCATAAGCAAGGAAAATGTGCGTCTTTTTCTTACTTACCTTTCGTTAGCCCCGCGTAGCACTCTGACTTGATGAAGATGGTGCTCGAAATGAACCCTCCATTGACCCCTTCTCCCTAAGAAGATGTTGCAAGAACAATGTCTTCAGTGTATCTACTTCTATTTGCAACTGTTCCATCCCCCTTCCCAGCCGACCAGCCTCACTTTTAAGTTCAACCACCTCGGTTTTTAGTTCGACCACCTCAGTTTTCAGTTCCACACACCCAATGCACAATATACTACTAGGAAAAGTGGGAAAGAGGCTTCGATCTTTTTCGGTTTGCTATTTTCTATTTCTCCAATTCCAACTTTGGAACAGAGGGGTGAGCTGAACAGCAACTGTAACCCCACTCTGCCACTCACACTCCCCTGACTCCAAGTGCATCGAGAAGCAAATGATTAAACTAGACATATATCTTCTGCTCACTAGCAGCAACAACCATGAAAGTTCTTTATTCTTCCTTTGAAACAGAACAATGGGGAAAGTTAGAAAGAAAACAACCCACTTAGATTACCACAGCACTACACTTGCTCCCTTTAAAAGTAAAAAAGAGGTAAAACAGTAAGAAACTCTTACAATTAGGGTTACTGTATTCTCACAAGTTTCCAGCCCATCAGGTTCTTTTCCAGTTTGCTGAGCCTAATAAACATAGGGATAAAAATACCACAATCTGTAAATGTCACTATTAAGTTTGTAATGAAAATCAAACAACTCCAAAAAAGTAAAAGACATACTTGTATAGCCTTCCACCTAGCAA